GGGGGGAAGGGGCGAGCGCAGCGGCAGGCAGCCTGGTTACCCCGAGCAGTTACCCGAGCCGGGGCCAGGGGTGCGGGGGGCGACCTCGGGAAGGAAGGAGAGGGGGCTGGGAGCCCCAGCGCGGGGCCCGCCGAGGCCGGTCCCACGGGGCGGGCAGAGGGAAAGCGGAGGGGGCTGGAGAGAAGCAAAGGGACAGGCGGCCGGAGGTGGACTGGGAGAGGGGCACTGGGCTCGGGGCAGGCCCGGTGTCCCCACACGGGCATGGGGTGAGGGGCGGCAAGGCGGCGAGTGGAGGGCGCCGGAGGCAGCCCCTACACCCAGAGGGGCCGCGGCGTCCTGCACTCCAAGCTCTGCCCACTCGGGAAACCCTGGCAGCAACGCTCCCCCAGGCGGTGCCCACGGGTGGCAGCGCTTGCCGCCGAGCCCGGAATCCCTTCCGCTCCCCGCTGAACCCCTTGGGGGGGGCACTCTTCCGAGGGGCAACCGAGGGGCGTGGAGGCGCGGACCGCCGCCAGAGGAGGGGTTCCAAGAATTCTCCAGGCGCCGAGAACGGATCAAAGGAAGTGAAACTCTTAGAAGGAAAATAGTATCAGTGGAAAAAATGCAGAGCGACAGCGCAGATCCACAGCCTAAGATGTAGGGGGTCGGCGGGAGAATGCGGCGGCAGAGAAAGTGAATCACGGCAGAAATGCACTGTTACTAATGACCGCGACACTACCTTATAGCCGTGTGAGACTTTCTCAAATGGAGCGCCCTTACAATGAATGCATTTCAGCCGGACCACGGCTTTTCTCTGCTCAAAACTCCCCAAACTTTCAAGCCTACCCGCTTCCTAAGAGTCAAAGTCTTGCTGGTGGCCTACAAGGTCCTAGTGACCTGATCGCCTTTCCTCTCTGACACGCTGACGTTTTCAGGCAGCTCTTTGCCTCCTATGCCGCTGGCTACTTCCTGCAGGTTTGCCTATAAGAAGAGAACCAGCTCAAATGGATGTGGATGGTTTATCGCTTGCACTGAGACCAGAAACAAAAACCAGCGTGGTGTCAGCTCCATGGCACCAAACCAGAGGGACCTATGAACAGACCGCAAGAGCCGTGGGTCACCTGTTACTGAGCTGCAGACCTTAAACAAGAGCCAAGTAGTGTTACACACACAGGAGCCTGTGGCTGTATCCCCGGCAAAGGAGCACATGGGGGCTGAGGTGGAAATTCCTGCACGCAGTGGAGCTTGGAAGAGGGGAACTGCCTTACAGTACTCTCTCACAAGCAGGGTATCTGCCTGCCTGCTAAGGGCTCTCCACAAGGCCTACCTGACCTTGCTCCACGGGGAGTCGCAAGGCGGTGTACCAAGCCTTGGGTCAGGCAGTGGTGACTTCTTGCATTCAAGGTCCAGGTACAGACCAGCAAGATCATCAGGACATTTTGGCAAAGCTCTAATGATTTCCTTGCTGATGCTCACATGTACCCAGTACTCTGCCACCTTAAGAATATTTTTTTCAGGGGCTGGGGATTTAGCTCAGCGGCAAAGCGCCTGCCTGGCAAGCACAAGGTTGTGAGTTCGGTTCCTGGTACCGGAAAAAAACCAAAAAAAAAAAAAGAATATTTTTTTCAAACTTAATGATACATTTTATTTACAAAACAGTTTGATTCTCTTGTTGTACCACAATTGTGAAACATGACTCTTAAAAAAGAAGTAACTTCTCAGATTCTGGGGAACTACTTTTCAGCAATCAAGGGATTGGAATTCAGGTGGTTTCTGTCTTTTTGAGAGATATAACAGCAGCTCTTGTGGGTGCTGTGTGTCTGCTTTCAAAATAACAGTGAGCACCCTCCCGAGTTCTCGAATAGGCAGATACCCGCAGTATATCGATGTTCGTGACATGATTGAAAAACTTCTCACGCTGGAAGTTTCCTTGCTGGCAAATCTTATTGATAGCTTTCAAGAAAAGATTCTGTCCCCATGGCCACTCGTGGCATAGCAGTGTGATCACTTTGCCCAATGCCATGTCATCTCTGTTGTCAGTGACAGCTCTAAGCTGAAAACAGGCCAACACCAAATGCAGGCAGTATGGATAATCGCTTTACTGGTACAGGGCAGAGGCTTCAGGTCAAAACCTTCCCTAAACTTAGGCTTTGCTTTTGAAGGATTTTGCTGGGATTTTCCTCCATCCTGAATGGGTAGTACCATGTAGCACATCAGACCAAGGACTTTCTCACAGAGAACAGTGTATTACCACTGTGTTAACGTGTATCTATCCAGTGTATCACCATAGCTCTGGCTTCTTTTCTGCATCTTCCTTTTACATCTCATTCCAACAACATTCAAAACCTTCCTCAGCTGGGCATGGTGGCGCACGCCTGTAATCCCAGTGCTTGGGAGGCTGGGGCAAGAGGATCATTGTGAGCTCGAGGCCAGCCTGGGCTACAAAGTGAGCTCAAGGCCAGCCTGAACGGCATAGTGAGACCCTGTCTCAAAAAGACAAAACGAAACAAAACAAAACAAAAAACCTTACTCAGCTTCTCCCAAGGGTCCATAATCTGGGATGAATTTTCCTTCAATCCTTCTACCACATACTTGTGGGAGCTAGGTTTGCTGGGCGATGTTAAATCTGATGTACCTTGGGCACCTTGATACTGATTTTCTATTTGAATAGACCCAGTAATATAGTTCATATAAAATCCAGCTGCTGTATTCAACTACTGATACAATAAATTGGCTAGTAATCAAATGTCACGGTTGTTAATTATTAAAGAAAGCTGGGCGTGGTGGCACATGCCTATAATCCCAGCACTTGGGAGGCTGAGGCAGGAGCATCGTTTCGAGTTCAAGACCAGCCTGAGCTACAAATTGAGCTCAAGGCCAGCCTGAACTGCATAGTGAGACCCTGTCTCAAAAAGGCAAAAAAAAAAAATTATTAGAGGAAGTACAGCACAAACAAATTATTTTCTTTTCGGTGCCAGCAACCAAACCTTGAGCTTGCCAGGCAGTTGCTGTGTTGCTGAGATATATCCTCAGCCAACAAATCTTTTTCTAAAGCATTAACAGTGATTCTTGCTCTTCAAGAATTTCAGCTTCTAATAGCACCTCCCTGAGGCCAAACCCATCTTGTAGCACTGTTTCTAGGGAAGCGCCTTAAAAGTATGAACAACATTTCTGATCAGTCCAGTGTGTGAGATACTGTTCTGTAACCTTTAGTACCGTTTCATACTGGATCCAGCCAAGAAGAGTTTCAAATAAACTTCTTGAAAATTGGGTTTGTTTATCCTGTAAGTCATTCCTACATGCTGATAGAATAATGCTGATTTTTCTCCATACCACTTTCTGCTCTAGGGAATTCACAAACATGTTGGGGATTGAGAAGCCTTCCTGCAGTGACGGTCTGGTTCACATTCTGCTTGCTGCTGTACATCTCATATTGGGTGTTAAAGTCAGCCAGGTAGAGGGTGCAGGCCGTGATCAGCTTCCTTGGCTTTCCACAGGTCTTGGACCACCAGCTACTGGGTTAGGGTTAGACTTAGGAACTTACTATCACCCTGAGCCGACCTGAGCCCCATGAGCTATCGTGGTTGGACCTTTGTCTGTTGGAACTGCCATTGCCTGCCAGGAGCAGGAATGCTTTTTATTTTTTATAGATGAGGTCTCACTACCTTGCCCAGGTTGGCCTTCAATTCATGGGTTTAATTAACCCTTTTGCCTCAACCTTCCAAATAGGTGCTACTGCCAGAGTGTGCCTCTGTCCCTGGCTACAAACTGAGTTTTTAATTGAGGCCCACTTTGTGCAGTACTGTTCAGGTACTCTATTGCTGGGTGACATACTGCCCCAAACAGAGTGGAAATAAAGCATCGCCCATTAGATTCATGGATTTTTGTGAGTCATAGATTCGGATAGAGCACAGGGAGCTGGATGGTCTTTGGTATCTGCCCTGGGACCTTGGCTCAAATGGCTGGCACCTCGAATCACCTAAAGCTGAGGTCAGCAAAGCAGAGCTCGAGAGTCTATGGCCTATTTCTGCACATCGGTGTTACTGGACCACAGCCATTCACATGGGTTTTATCTATGGCTGCTTCTGTGCTATAACAATAGAGTTACTTGTGACGGAGATTCTGTGGCTCCCAGAGGTGTATGATACAGCCCTTTACAAAGCCAGCCAACCCCTGATGTAAAGGTTCATTCATATCCCTGGCGGCTGCCTGCTCTGGGAGTTGGAGAGAAAGGCTGGAGGTTGCTGTGGATAATTGAGGCTCATCTCTGGCAGCCTCTCTGAAGTTGGAAGCCTTGCAGAGCAGCTCAGGGCTCCAAGAGCAACCATACCAGTGAAGAAGGTGGAAGTGGCATGACCTTTTAGGACCTAGCCTCAGGGGTCATATGTTTCCACTTGACCATCCTCTCTTGGAGGAACCGGTCACAATCCTGTCC